ACCTCTCTTTATTGTGACAATCAAAGTGCTATTCAGATTGCTCACAATGATGTTTTCATGATCGCACCAAGCATATTGAGATTGATTGTCATTTCATTCGACAGCATGTTACACGTGGTACTGTTCATCTTCTCCCTATTGCTTTTGCCGATCAACCTGCTGATATTTTCACCAAGGCTCATCCTCCTGGGCGCTTCCGTGATCTTGTTTCCAAACTCAACTTGGTCGATGCCTACCCTCCTTGAGTTTGCGGGGGGCTGTTAACATATAATATACAATATACATCACATTTATAGCTGTAAAGGATGTAAAGGATCACACTTATAGCTGTAAAGGCCAAACACACCCACTAGCACTAGCACACACCTTCAGCTTTAGCAGTAGTTATATATTGTTTTAATGTATTGCATTACACTTTCGGTGCTCCACTGCCGCCTCTCCTCTCTATAAAGAGAGAGAGCTCAGTCTTTTGTAATCACAACATACAACAACAGACACTGAATATACATCTCTTTCATTTCAGTCCTTCTCCTCTCTTTCATTTCAGTCTCTGCAACTAACACGTTCACTCCACCAACGCTCTCTCTCGTAAGCATCTCGGATCCCAAATACATGACAATTGTAGCTCTGAACCTGTCTCCGTCCGTTGCGCCACCGACAACCTCTTCCTTTGCAACGGCTGCAACTGGGACGTCCACGGCAGCTGCTCCGTCTACGCCTCACACGATCGTAACCCCGTCGAGGGTCTCTTGGGATCTCTCTTTGCTCTCGAGCTCACCTCAGCTTGGGGAGTTAATTTAGAGGATAAGAAACCTCAATCACAATTGCAATTGCCATTGCCTATGCAATTGACTTCGAATTGGAGTTTTCAAAGATTCGAGTAGAGTGAATTTCGATTCACAGATGTATAAATCTGCTGCGGGTGTTACGCTGTTGCAAGATTTGTTGGTTTCGAGTAGGAATAATGCAATGATGCATTCGGAAATAGGTTCGAAGAGGTAGAGTCTGAGCTGTGGGAAGCAAAATCAAGTCTTGTTGAGGTAGTTAATGAAGTTGTTTAAGAGGGAGATAGTGGGAGAAGATGATAACGGCGGCACTAGTGGCAGTGATGGCGGTGGTGGTGAGAATCTAGTTCCGAATATGCAGAATCAGAGTGGTTAGTAGCAAGCAAATGTGAAACGTGCTAATCTTGGAAGTGGAGGTGATGAGGTTGGAGATCCTGTGAATTAGTCATTGCAACAACAACATGAAACCCCTTTTACTTCTTAGAAAATTGACTGTCTTTCATAATAGAGAGTGAATTTAGGAATTTAGGCTATAAAGAGTATTATGGTCTTTTCGTCCTCAAAAGCAAGAGTAATAAAGTCATTTAGGTGGTGTTTGGTAAGGAAAAGTCGGGCTAAATTAGCCACGTTGCGACAAAGTAGGCTGAATTAGCCACGTCCTGACAAAATGCAATTCACGGGTATGTTGAAATCCTTACTCGTGTAAATTTACCCAAATGCCCCGAAGACAACCCTCTTCAATCTGAGGGACAACGCCTCATCCAAACCCAACACACACCCTTTGAAGAGAAGAACAACGGAGCTATCCGAGGACATCTGACCGACCTTCGTAGAGGTAATTGCCACCGGAGTACCCATTCGCGGCGGCGAACAAGAACCAAGCCTCTCAAACTCAAATCGATCTGATTCAGGTAATGCTTTTATGGCCTATCTGATTTCTCTTTTTCTTCTTTCGATCTGCATAGTATGGGTTGATAACGACATCGGTTCATGACCGATCTGTTGCTTTCCAGTCGTGATTGGGTTGATTACGTTTACATTACACACATTTGGGGCACCGATCTGTCTCTGTGAGAAATCTGGGTAATGGATCTGTTCTTATTTTGAAAATCTGTTCGGTTATCACAAATTTGGAGCAGGTTTGTATATATACATATATATATAAAATATATCTGTTCTTATTAAAATATCTGTTCTTATTTATGAAAATCAGATCTGTTGATCACAAACTGAAGGCACCGTTGTTTAAACTGAAGGAAAAACAGATCTTATATATCTGTTCTGATTTACAAATCTGTTCTTATCAGATATTGTTTACAAAATGCTCAATTATCATGTCTTGTATAAATCTGTTCTATTCGGTTATCACAAATTTGGGACAGATTTGTTATATTTTTTTGTTTATAGTCAATGCTGAAGCCTGAATTTTTGCTAATAGAAATGCTCAATTCCCATTTGTGAAAAATATAATGAATTACATAAAAAAATATAATTCCAACTCAATTTGGGAAGGAAGGTAGATATATTATCTATATATATTAACAACAAATTACAAAATATATAAAACTTATAGTACAAATATATTACAAAAATTGGGTTTATTAAGCAATATATTAAAAATATATTAGAAAGATATTAAAAAAATATGTCTGAAAAATATATTACAAATTTAGATTTAAAAAGTAAAGAGTGTAAAAATTTAGCTAGACATATATGACAAAATTTAATTATGAAAAACTATATTAAAAATATATTGCAAAATATTTTCAAAATATCATAAAAAATATATTCAAAATATATTACAAAATAGATGTATTAATTTGAGTATATTTTTTACTCAATACGAAATGCTGAATTCTCATTTCTAAAAAATATATTAATTAGATAAAAAATATATTTCGAACTAAATTTGGGAAGGAAGGTAGATATATTATCTACATATATTAACAACAAATTACAAAATATATAAAATTTATATTACAAATATATTAGAAAATTGGGTTTATTAACAAATATATTAAAAATATATTAGAAAGATATTAATAATATATTAAAACATATATTACAAATTTAGAGTTAAAAAGTAAAGAGTGTCTAACTTTTATTAAACATATATGACAAAATTTAATTATTAAAAAATATAGTATAAATATATTGCAAAATATTTTCAAAATATCATAAAAAATATATTCAAAATATATTACAAAATAGATGTATTAATTTGAGTATATTTTTTACTCAATACGAAATGCTCAATTCTCATTTCTAAAAAACATATTAATTACATAAAAATTATATTTCGAACTAAATTTGGGAAGGAAGGTAGATATATTATCTACATATATTAACAACAAATTACAAAATATATAAAATTTATATTACAAATATATTAGAAAATTGGGTTTATTAACAAATATATTAAAAATATATATTACAAATTTAGAGTAAAAGTAAAGAGGTCTAACTTTTATTAAACATATATGACAAAATTTAATTATTAAAAAATATATTACAAATATATTCAAAAAATATTTTGAAAATATCATATAAAATATATTTAAAATATTACAAAATAGATTTATTAATTTTCAATATATTTTTTACTCAATACGAATTGCTCAATTCTCATTTGTGAACAATATATTAATTAGATACAAATATATTTCAAACTAAATTTAGGAGGAAGGGTAGATATATTATCTTATATATAGATAACAACAAATTTTATCCAAATATATATAAAAATTATGTTACAATATATTACAAAATATGGTTTATAAGAAATATATTACAAAGATATTAAAAATATATTAAATATATATTACAATTTTTGATTTAAAAGTAAAGAGTGTACAAATTTATTAAAACATGTATGAAAAAATTTAATTACTAAAAATATATTAAATAATATAATTCAAAATATTTTAAATTATCTTAAACAAAATTTCGTAAAAAATAGTTTCAACAATATATGTCAGTAAAATTTTTAGTAAACATATATTAATTTAATAAATTATTAGAAAATATATTAACAATATATGCACAAATCTAATAAAAAATATATTTCAAAATATATTACCAATATACCTAATTTCATGATGCACAATACTTTTACAAACAATGTAGTTCGTTCATAGAATAAAATATAAACTTGCTTTAGTCTTTGTATGTGTTCATGTTGATTCATGTAAATTTAATTGTAATTTAAAGCGTAGCGTGGCGTCGTTCACCTCTACTGCAACTTCCAGTACATGGCCAGGACGAATGTGTGCCTGTGGATATGGCCCGTGTATTGTTAGGATTTCCAGGTTCACCAAGAATCCAGGGCGTTCCTACTTTGTATGTCCCCGCCCTGTGGTGAGTGACCCAATCTTTACCGGTCATAACTTAATGAACATTAACAACCCATGAAACTAATAGTTGCATACTTTTCACTCATCAGCCTTGTGTCAGTTGGATTGGTTGGTGTGAAGAACGAAGCCATGAGAACCAAGGCTATGCGTCACCCGGAGATGAAATTGCCATGCAATTGCGGGCTGATGTCATAGACATTCAACAATCCTTGCGTGTCCTTAAGACCATTGTGTATGTGCTCTGCATTGTCGTTGTCATTTTGTTGTGCCGTATGTAAGCACCGTTACCATGTTGTCAGTATGTACAAACACGTTAGTATGTTGTCAGTATGTTGTTAGTATGTAGTTAGTATGTTCGTAGTATGTTGTCGCATATGGGAGCCGTAATACTAACTATCATATTTTTGTCCATTACTAACTTCCATGGAACCTGTGTACGTACCATATTAATGTGCAATGGTTATATGCAAATTTAACTTTAGCATCCTATATCTCTGTTTGTTGTTATTAATGTGTCATGGCTTATGCGTGTGTATATAACAACCAAATTTGTGATGGTAATCTTTTGTAACCGTACATTAGTAATGGCTTCCACACGTACTTCGCCGTGTAACCAATCGAAAAGCAAAGGCGTTGTGACTAACAAGTCAAGCAGTCTTGAAGAGACACAAAATCAGTTCAGCCACAAGGCCTCATGGGACAGTAACTCAATCCGAGTTTTCCTGCAGTTGATTACAAATGAGATTAGTAAAGGAAATCGCCAATTCCTAGTCCTCAGCCAAGCAGGGTACAAGTCGTTGGCAAGGAAATTTGAGAAAAAAACAGGAAAAAAAATGGACTGAAACAGTTGAAGAATAAATACATGAGCTTGAAAAAAGAGTGGCAAGCGTGGACAAAGTTGATGGATTCAAGCAAAGTAGTGTCCGGGATAGGCTTTGACTGTGACACCGGTTTGTTTCAGGCACCTAACGAGTGGTGGGACAAGATGGAATCAGTAAGTACATGTACAAACAAGTTTTATATATGTCATTTACCAGTACATTTTTGACTTGTTCAGTTAACTTTTAATTAATTAAATGAAATATAACTTCTGCCTCTTTCATATATCTCTATTTCTGCAGATCAACAAGGCGTGTGCGAAGTTCAGGAAAAAAATCTTGGAACACCGTGACTTGATGGAGACGGTCTTCATGGGGGCATCAGCTACTGGGAAGCACCATTGGATCCCGGGAGAGAAACTTCTTGAAGCTACTGATGACTCATCTGATTCAGTGCGTAGTTTGGGAGCCCAGCCATTTGCTGATCCGATACCCGCAGGAGTACAGGACGTGGATTCAGATTCTTCTCTAGAGCATGTTCCGATTGAAAAGCTAAAAAGAAGAAAGACGCCATCAACAAGTGTTTCAAAGTCGAAGAAGGCAACAAGTGGTGCGTCCGTTATTGCGGAAAGCATGAACAATCTGACAGATGTGGTGCGTTCAAAGAATCAGCAGGTCACGGCGAGGCACCTTACAGGCAACAAATCGCTGTACACTATTTCGGAGTGCATGCATAAACTGAGCAGTATTCCATCCCTGATTGGTACGCCGTTATTCCACTTCGCCTCCATACTTATGGATAATGTTGATTACCGGGAGGTGATGATGTGCCAGCCTGATGACGACCACATCATTGGATGGCTTACACAGAAGCAACTCCAGTGTACTGCGTCGGCGCCTTTTGCAAACCTGTTTGGGGGTCGCCGGATGTGATGTAGCGGTGTTACGAGTGTTGAAGATGCATGTCCTTCTCTTCCTTTTTAAAACTTTGACTTATGGTATTGTTGGCACTGTACTAAAACAGGATGGTGGTGTGTGCATGTTTTTATTCTGTCGTTTTTATTTTTTTCTTGCTAGCTATGTTGACCAAAAGTTTTAGTTAACTGCATGGGTTGACGGAACGGAAGCATGGTTGTGCTTCGTTTTTGGGAAATGAATGGGATGTTTATGTTTTAATGTTTGTGTGGCTATTTTTAAGACAGGGAATTACGTTTTCCTTGCACGCTTTTGAATGCCTATATGTCGCATATTATCAATTGTTAGTTTAGTTTGCTGGCTAGTTTTGTGGCTGTTACCACCATGGCCTCCTTGTAAAGCATAAGTTGAACAGCTTCTTTTTTTTGTGCAATTCATATGATTATGTGTTCCAAATGACATTGGTGACGACATTACTTACATTAAAAACAATGTCGGCATTTTGTAATTGCAAACTTCAATATAATTTGAGTCAATGAATCACGTGCCAACTGATTGAAAGACTGCCACTCTTGTAGGTTTCGCATCCACGAAGACGCGATGAATCCCTGGGATGGAAGCAACAATGATGAAATAACGGAAATGCTTAATCAAATTGCGGTCCAGGTGCAACAAGAACAGAACTGCACATTTCTACAAGCATGCCAGTATGCGACAGAATGGTACGAAAAACACATGGATAAAACGCCGTGTCGCACTTCAATACTGACCGGGAATACATGGATATGCGAACTATATGCGGGCCATATGGGTCGATTTGAGGAAAATGTTTGCATGCCGAAGGAAGTTTTTGCCGCATTGTGTGAGACATTAGTAAATGATTTTGGGTTACAAGTCCCGCAACGTCCACATGGCTTAACTGTTGAAGAAAGCGTTGCAATATTTATCCATGTGTTGAAAGGGAAGCAAAATCGGGAAATCCAAGAACGGTTCCAACATTCCGGGGAGACTGTGTCGAGGCATGTGCATAACGTATTAACTTCCATGAAAGAGTTCACTGTTGTTCATTGCCGGCCCACATACAGTCAACATCGTATACATCCATACGTGCGGTCTAAACGGAAATACCTACCGTTCAAGGTACTTCTAGAAAACATTATTAACATATAAATCAAGACAATTAATTATATTTTGTTTTTATTATTAACTACATGTGACGTCTGGAAAAAAACCAAACACTTGTTACCCATTTACGCAACAAAACAATTGGGTTGTTTGCAGGACTGCATTGGCGCAATAGACAGAACACATGTCAGTGCATGGGTTATGGGGCCAGATACGGCAACATATTTCGGTAGGAAATACTGTCACACGCAAAATATCATGGCCGCTGTCGATTTTGACATGTGTTTCATATTCATTTCCTGCGGATGTGAAGGAAGTATGCATGATAGTCGCATATTCAACGAGATACTAACAAATGACAATGTCTCCTTCCCACATCCTGACGAAGGTAACACATCGTCCTGTTATTACATGTAGGGGGCTATAAATTTTTCCTGAAACAGCGTTACTTGAAAATGACGCAGAATGTTTGGTTTTGGTGTCATACATTGTTGTCATGTCTACAGGCAAATATTATCTTGTCAATTTTGGCTATCCAAACCGGATTGGTTACTTAGCACCATTCAAAGGCCACCGTTACCACCAACAAGAATTCCGATGTATTGCACGAAACACGACGGCAAACACGTCAAGGGAATTATTTAACAAAGTGCACTCGTCCTTACGCAGTGTGGTGGAACGCACTTTCGGTGCCTGGAAAAATCGATGGGGGTTTATTCGAGACATGCCTCGGTATGACTTTGCAAATGTGCAAGTTCAGTTAGTAGGTGCGTCAATGACATTACATAATTATATACGGCGCAACACAGGTAACCCAACAACTGTTCAGCCAATCTGTGACGAGGAAGAGGCTATGACAATAGTAAATGCCATACCAGAAGTTGAACATGACGAGAATGGTTTAATGGTTAGGGATGAGGACCCCCATATGGCATTGGTGCGCCTTCACATACGCGACAAATTATGTTACATGCGTAATAACGGAATGTTAGGAAATATATAATAGTCGAAATAATTTTCGTATGGTTGTCACATAATGACACACGTGGAACAGACTGTATTCAAATATATTATCATGTACAATATGTATGAGTTTTCACGGGAATGTAACCCCTTCCAGTTGGTGACGTGCCTAACTTTCGAAAACAACAATCCATACGAATTTAGCATTTCGAAAAACAAAAAAAGGTGAAACAAATAAAACCAAATGAAAAAGAAAACTAATATAAAAATTGTCATGTGCGACGTCAATTAAAAACATAAAAACAGAAGTTGAAAACAACAAGAAAACCAAAACAGACTGTAGATTTTTTGACATGTGCCATGGCAATATATGATTTTCCACTGCATTTTGAATAAATGTCATAAAAAAACGTTTTTCCAAACAAAAAAACCAACCGAAATTAGCATTTGCCACGTAATTTACAGATAAAATAAGCATGACGAAAACTGATTTGTCAAATATAATAACAAAGTACTGTTTACAAATTAAAAAAAATTATGGAAACATAAATTAAAAAAAGAAGAACGACAAACATAGGTCTCATCCAAAAAAAAGGAAAAAAAAAAGAAAAAAACAGAAATTACCATTTGTCACGTCGTTTACAAATAAATAAAACGAGAGAAAATCCATTTTCTAAATATAAAAACAAATTAATGTGAGTGAATAAGCCAATGACAAAATTGTAAATTTTGAAAAAATAACGACAAAATTACGTCACATTCAATAAATATTTTACAACAAAAACATGAAAACATAAATTATCATTCGCGACGTAATTTACAAATAAATGAAACACATAAATATATTAAAAAAAGGTTATTATATACCAATAAAAATGAAGAACAAGAACTAATTAATGTAAAAAAAAATAACAAAAAGACGAAAACATAAATTCCAAAAAAAAAATTGAAAAATTTAAGCACAATACGTCAAATCCAAACCCAAAATTAAAAAATGTAACAGAAAAAAAAATTAAGCAAAATGCGAAAAATCCAAACGCAAAATAAAAAAAATTAAAAGAAAAAGATATTTTAAGCAAAATCCGCCAAATCCAAACCCAAAAAATATTTAAATAAAAAATAAAAAATTGGATTTGTTCTTCGACTCCAAACCTATAAATAAGAGGTTTTAAAGATTTTTCAAAGAGTTCATCTCCCTTTTATTTATTTTTACTTTGTCCTTGCTCAGTTTACCGAAAAGTGCAATATTTTACGAAATGCGAGCCTCGGAACATCATGGAAACATTTGGAAAAATATTTTGAAAAAGAGGGTTTTAAGGTCTAAAAATAGTTTTGGTCAAAATGGGTTGTAAGGTTGGCATTTAGAAGCCCTTCTTGCTGAGGAATCGAACATTTGTACGGCATAACTTTTATCATCCAGTGATCAACTTGAGTGCCTAAATCTTAAGGGCGGTCAAAAATGGGGTGTCTACACAATTCCATAATGTATATAAAATCAACATTTGACATTATTAGGGCAAAACGCCTTTTTTCTTCCAATATCAATCCCAAACATCAAAATCAACCATTTTATCACAACTTAACTTTATTTCCAACACCACAAACATTTAAAAGCCAAAATTGTAAAAAAAAAAAAAAAAAACCGGAAAATATCCAAATCCAAACCCAAAATAAAAAATAAAAAAAGGCAAAAAATGCAATTTGGTAATTTAACAGGATGACACCTTACCAAAAAGTCAAAAAAGTCAAAAAGCCCTTCCCAAACGAAGCTAAAATAGCCAAAAAGTCAAAAAGCCAAAAAGCCAACCTACTTTTCAAATGGAGGCTTAGTATATGCAACTAACGTCGTTTATGCCAATTTGACAGGATGGGAGAATCTTGACAATGTCAGTTAAAGTAATTGAGGTTTATGTAATTATTCAAACAATAGGAGAGGTCCCTGTATTTGTCAGAAACCTCAAAAAAAGTGAGTATAATTTACCTAATAAAAAATTACACCTCAACCGTGTTTCAAAAAAAAAAACTATAAAAAATAATAAATTATATAAATAATAATAATTAAAATCATAAACTTTTTTCCTATTATGTAATAATTTTTCAAAACCCATACTGAATGATTTCTCAAAAAAAAAGAAGTCGACAATACCCAACAATAAAAAAGGAAAGTGATATTGTTGTAACAAAAGTGCTACAGATCTCACGACCCCTGCATGCCTGAGAGAGAGAGAGAGAGATCAAGGGCACCTAATAGAGAGGGAAAAAAATGAGTGATGTTATGGATTCCAAATAACTTATTAAATTTTTTATCAAATTTTTTATATGGGTGTGAGACTCACACAAAGACCTACATATATTTGGATTTGTATGGGTCTCACATCCATGTGAGAGGTTTGATAAATTATTTAAAATCCATAACATTTTTCAAAAAGAATAAATAATGAGTGGGGATCAATCAATTGGGGATCATGGGAGTCACAATTTTTGGGGTCTCAAACATTAATTCTTTTTTGGTTCCAGTTTTCAGAAAATAATTTTTAGAAAATTCTACTCTTTTATTTTTCGTATTTTAATGTTTTCAATGAATTTTTTTAATATTTTAAGTAATTTTTTTTTAATTTTTAGACATACCTAACATAAACACACTTAAGAAGTATAATATTTGTGAAAAAAATGTTTAAAAAATATACTAAATACCAAAAAAATACAAAAAAAAAAGAGAAAATTTAATATATTTTCGTATTTTTGTGTATTCATTAATTTTTTAAAATATTTTTTCACAAATATTTTACTCTTTAGTTATATCTAAGTAAAGTATATCTAAAAAAGTAAAAAAAATTACTTAAAATTTTAAAAATATTTATTAAAAATAAAAAAATACGAAAAACAAAAAAATAAAATTTTCTGAAAAATAGTTTTAGAAAAGCGTAACC